GCATAACACCCAGTGCTGCATGCAGAACGTGCCCCCCTTAATACCCATCACCAGGCTAACCCATCCTCCCACCCTCCTCCCCTCTAGAACCCTCAGTTTGTTTTTCAGAGTCCATAGTCTCTCATGGTTCGTCTCCCCCTTTGATTCCCCCCCTTCATTTTTCCCTTCCTACTATCTTCTTCTTCTTTTTTTTTTTTAAGATTTTATTTATTTATATGACAGAGAGAGACAGCGAGAACAGGAACACAAGCAGGGGGAGTGGGAGAGGGAGAAGCAGGCTTCCCGCTGAGCAGGGAGCCCAGGGAGCCTGGGATCATGACCTGAGCCGAAGGCAGACGCTTAACGACTGAGCCACCCAGGCGCCCCTTCTTTTTTTTTTTTAACATAATGTATTATTTGTTTCAGAGGTACAGGTCTGTGATTCAACAGTCTTGCACAATTCATAGCACTCACCATAGCACATACCCTCCCCAATGTCTATCACCCAGCCACCCCATCCCTCCCAGCCCCCACCACTCCCGCAACTTTCAGTTTGTTTCCTGAGATTAAGAATTCCTCATATCAGTGAGATCATATGATACATGTGTTTCTCTGATTGACTTATTTCGCTCAGCATAATAAACTCCATTTCCATCCACGTCGTTGCAAATGGCCAGATTTCATTCCTTTTGATGGCTGCATAATATTCATTGTGTATATATACCACATCTTCATCCATTCATCTGTCGATGGACATCTTGGCTCTTTCCACAGTTTGGCTATTATGGACATTGCTGCTATAAACACTGGGGTGCACGTACCCCTTCAGATCCCTACATTTGTATCTTTGGGGTAAATACTCAGTAGTGCAATTGCTGGGTCGTATGGTAGCTCTATTTGCAACTTTTTGAGGAACCTCCATACTGTTTTCCAGAGTGGCTGCACCAGCTTGCATTCCCACCAACAGGGTAGGAGGGTGCCCCTTTCTCCACAATCTCTCCAACATTTGTTGTTTCTTTCCCTGTCCATTTTGGCCATTCTAACTGATGTAAGGTGGTATCTCATTGAGGTTTTGATTTGGATTTCTCTGATGCCAAGCGATGTTGAGCACTTTTTCATGTGTCTGTTGGCCGTTTGGATGTCTTCTTTGGAAAAATGTCTGTTCATGTCTTCTGCCCATTTCTTGATTGGATCATTTGTTCTTTGGGTGTTGAGTTTAAGAAGTTCTTTATAGATTTTGAATACTAGCCCTTTATCTGATATGTCATTTGCAAATGTCTTCTCCCATTCTGTCGGTTGTCTTTTGGTTTTGTTGACTGTTTCCTTTGCTGTGCAAATGCTTTTTATCTTGATGGAAGTCCCAATAGTTCATTTTTGCCCTTGCTTCCCTTGCCTCTGGGGATGTTTCTAGGAAGAAGTTGCTGCGGCTGAGGTCGAAGAGGTTGCTGCCTGTGTTCTCCTTTAGGATTTTGATGGATTCCTGTCTCACATTTACGTCTTTCAACCATTTGGAGTCTGTTTTTGTGTGTGGTGTAAGGAAATGGTCCATTTTCATTCTTCTGCATGTGGCTGTCCAATTTTCCCAACACCATTTGTTGAAGAGACTGTCTTTTTTTCCACTGGACATTCTTTCCTGCTTTGTCAAAGATGAGTTGACCATAGAGTTGAGGGTCCATTTCTGGGCTCTCTATTCTGTTCCATGGATCTATGTGTCTGTTTTTGTGCCAGGACCATACTGTCTTGATGATTACAGCTTGGTAATAGAGCTTGAGGTCTGGAATTGTGATGCCACCAGCTTTGCTTTTCTTTTTCCACATTCCTCTGACTATTCGGGGTCTTTTCTGGTTCCATAGAAATTTTAGGATTATTTCTTCCATTTCTTTGAAAAAAGTGGATGGTATTTTGATGGGGATTGCATTAAATGTGTAGATTGCTCTAGGTAGCATTGACATCTTCACAGTATTTGTTCTTCCAATCCATGAGCATGGAACATTTTTCCATTTCTTTGTGTCTTCCTCCATTTCTTTCATGAGTATTTTATAGTTTTCTGAGTACAGATTCTTTGCCTCTCTGGTTAAATTTATTCCTAGGTATCTTATGGTTTTAGGTGCAATTGTAAATGGGATCAACTCCTTAATTTCTCTTTCTTCTGTCTTGTTGTTGGTGTATAGGAATGCCACTGATTTCTGTGCATTGATTTTGCTATATGTTTTTATCATATTAAAGAACTGGCCTTGTAATCCTGGTTTTCAAAAAATTTTTATTTAAAAAATGCTTGATGAATTTTACGAAATGCCTTCTGGATTTTTTTTTTTTTAATTATAAGACTTGTCTCATTTGATCCATTGATATGCCACATTAGATTATTTAATATTAAGTTATCCTAACATGGCATGAAAATTATGACTTGGTCATGGTGAGCTATGTCCTTTATATCATTGAGTTTGATTTGGTAGCATTTGATTTGGGATTTTTTTTCATCTGCATTCATAAGTGACAATGATCTACAGGGTCATGAATGTGATCGTGTATGCATGCACGCAAATCATCATCATCAGTTGTAGAACAAGATTATTTTACCTAAAAGCAGAGCATCAAATACATGAACAAAAATAGAGAAGTATACGCTTAGAGATTTCAATACATTTTTCTCTCAATTGATAAGACAGAAGATCTGCAAAGATGTACAAAATTTGAACACTATCAACCAATTTGATCTGACATAAATGGAATGTTTCACCTAACAGGAGCAAAAATACACAGACTTTTTAAGTGCACATGTGACAGTTATAAAGATAGACCATACTCTTGAGTTTAGATCTTCCTGTATTCATCAGATTTATCCCTAAGTATTTCATATTTTTGATGATGTAAAAAGTATTTTAAATTTCAATTTCCAGTTGTTGCTGGTGTATAGAAAGACAATTCATATTTGTATATTGCATTTGTATCTTGCATCCGCTGAATACACTTCCTGATCTTAGTGGGGTTTTTTAAATGATAGATTTCATGGGATTTTCTATACAGATGATCACATTATCTGTAAATAAAGTTTAATTCTTCCTTTCCAATATGGATGCATTTTGTTCGTTTTTTTTTCTTGCCTTATTGCACTGTCTAGACTCCTCAATACAATGGTGAATAGAAATGGTGAGAGAAAATGTCTTGTTCCTTATTTAGGAGGAAAGCATTCATTATGTCATTACTAAATGTACCATTAGCTATAAGCGTTTGAAAAGTGCTCTTTATGAGGTTAAGTTCTTTTTCTGGTTTGCTGAGCACTTTTACCAGGATTAGATGTATTTTGTCAAATCTTACCTCTGTATCTATTAGGGCAATCATATAGTTTTTCTTTTTTGTTCTATTAATATTATAAATTACATTGATTATTTTTAAATGTTAAACCAGCCCTGCATCTTTATGGTAAATAAAGATGTGGTCATGATTATATATTGTTGAGTTTGATTGGCTAACATTTTGTTCAGAATTTTTACATCCCTGTTCATGAGGAATATTAATCTGTTTCCTTACAATGTCTTTGTTTACGGTATCAGAGTCTCTTGGAATGAGTTAGGAAAGATTCTCCTTTTCAATTTTGGGGAAGAGATTGGGCAGAAATGGTATTTCTTTCTTAAATGTTTGGTAGAATTCACTAGAAAAGCCATTTGGAGGGCTCAAGGGCTTGGCCTTTGAAATTTCCACAGGTTCTCATGGTAAAAAGATGATGTCTACAAAGTGTGTTTGGGGAAGATGGACCTGGCAGATGTGGGGAGGAGCTATGTTGGCAGTGAGGGCCTGGCTATAAGTACTAGGAACAACATTATATTCTTCCCAAATTCCTGCAGATAAAGCTTTGCTCAGTCTTTCACAGAGTGGAAGGAATTGCCCACACAGGAAGAAAAGTGACCCCACTTGATGAAAATAGGCTAAACGATGCTTTTATTGATGAGGAGGTTATGAGGGGGCTGCAACTATTGTCACTTAAAAATGACCCTTGGTGGCTAGGCTTTCCAGTTCAGCTAAATAAATCCCCCCACCCCCACCCCCAGCTGGACACTTGCTTTGTGAACTGCCAAGACCACACTTAGATGGCCGTGTTTTTAAGTGACTGGAATTTTTTTTTTTTTTTTTTTAAGGAAAGTGATTATTTCAGAGTTTCTTTACAGCTTTAAAGAGTCATAAAAGAAACACAAATCTTAAGGACTTGCTGATAACATAACTCTGTCAAGTTGCCGCGCACCCCCACCCCCAACACTGGACGTTTATCATTTTGAACAAGCACAGCCTCCTGTTCTGGGCATGGTAGTCTACACATCCACTTCTGCCCTATTGATTAGTTAAGAACAATATTGCAACTTGATCATCTGGTTGCAGCAGCCACACTTAGGGAGTTGCATTTTATTGCATCAGCTCTGGGGATAGGCGAGGCGAGGCCAGTGCCAACCAAAGAGCTTAGTAACCGAAGCTGCAGAGTTAGCAAAATGAACTGAAGACTGAAACCATCATATTTTATAAGTTCTTTTCAGCTCATGGGTGAGCATATTCCCCAAAATTTAAGTCATAGAACATCTTTCAGCATTTTCTTTTGCACTACAACTCAAACAACACCTACCTATTAGTAAAGCAAGCACACCTTTCTAATAAAATAATGTGCTGTTGGGAGGGAGGCACAGGTGACATCAATGGAAAATTCAATGGATTAGGGAATGGCTTTCACTTGGCATCAGTGTGAATGACTTAGTATTGTCAATATGGGTGGTGTTATTTTAAACACAGAACAACCTGCCCAGTGATTTTCACTGTAAACCAAGGGTCCGTGATGTCACACTTCCATAAAATTTCTTTCTGGGAAGTGAACCTGCAAAATGTACACAAGGTAAACGTCTTTTTTTCAAACAGCCCTGGGAGGGGGGAAATAGCTATTTCCTATTTGGATAGTACACATCTGCTATCCCGTCTGGTCCTTATAACATCCACGTGGAAGTGACTAAGTCAAATTTTATCATTGACTTATTTTACAGTTGAAGAAATGGAGGCTTGGAGATGAAGAGAATTTACCAGGATTATAGAGGAAGTAAGTGGCAAAGTAGACATTGGACTTCAAATCTCTCAAGTCTGGCTTCCATGCTTTTACCATTATGGCACATTGCCTCTCCAGAGTGAAAATACGGATATGGTGATTAAGAGCTTACCAGTTTGCAGAACTCAAAATACACACACCTCGTATGGAACACCAGGCAAGCCAGTATTACACGACTGGAGGTGAACATTTTACAAATAAACTCCCAAATGTTTCATTTCCATAGAGAAAGAACTGTTGTGTTTTGCTATTAAGTGAGATATTAATTCTGTCCATGAATACACTATTTTGTTGGCGTTTCAGGGAACTTATGTATAGGATCTTAGGGAAAAGGAGACAGTCCTAGAAAATGTGAATTTATTTAAATGTATAAATTAGAAATTCCTAACCTGGGGGTGTAGACATTTTTTAAATCCACAGATAAGCACCAGGAGGTACAGGGTTCCTTGAAATTAAATATAAAAATTTATGAGTATGCATGTTTTTTTTTGCGGGGGAGTATTCTTTGGTTCTGTTATATTTTTAAAGAGAGGTCTGTTTCGTGAAGAACTTTCGTGAATTACTCTGATGGACACAGAAACAGTTCCTTCTTTCCCCGACCAAAGCAATCCACAAAGATTTTTCCATCTCTTGAGTTTTCTGCGAGCTTATTGTCCGCCTGCTACATTGATCTGGTGCCCATTGAGCATAGCTTTGCCTTGTTAATTAACTGTATGTGTAAGAGGGGCTGCATCTCAGTCTCCTGTGTGTGTTTCAGGGTCCCCAGATGGAGTAGACTAGACATTTAATAAATCACAGATTCAGGAATGTTGACTTTCAGCAATCTGATCACTAAGTCAAATGTTATCATTGACTCGTTTTGCAGATGAAGAAATGAAAGCATGGAGATGAAGAGAATTTACAAAATTATAAGGCAAGTAAGTGGTGAAATGAAGATCGGAGGTTGAATCTTTTAAATTCCTGTCCTACAGCACGTGGAGGCTTGTGGGATCCAGACTTCTTGTAGCCATGCTTTGTAAGGTACTTAGTTTGCAAATCAATTCTGAATACAAAAATGAAGTTAACAGGTGTGCTTTTCAAGTTACAGGATAATTTTTAAATAGTCTCAACAGTACATAGGAACCTAGATGAGGGTTACTTCATTGAGCGCAATTCCCTTAGCTGGTTGTGTGTTTATTTCAAAGATGGTACCTTTGGCTCTAAGTATGCTCTCTGAGTTTCTTGTTAGGACAGCCATAGAGGGTCTTGAAATGGTATTAACTGGCAAGTTAAATTGCTATGTTCCCTGATGGAACACTCAATGATTTTTTGCTGTTTGAAAATATCAAGGTTGTAAGGTTTGCTATGATAGTACGTATACCAAAGAGCTCTGTGCTCCCTGAACGTAAATTCACGAAAGGACCTCAAACTTGTGTGGGTTGTGGGACATCATTAAAATCGACAAATGAGTTCTTAAGGGAACTTCTTTCAAGAGACAATGTGCAATTGAGGGTGTTTGCCTGCTAACAAAATACTGCTTGCATTCATGGGCTCAATGTAGTTTAACAAGTAGTATTTGAGCACTTAAAAAGTGCTTCACTTTGTGCTCTACATGGTGTGTGTGTGTGTGGGGGGCGCCCACAAAGTTTACTGAGACTCAATTCTTGCATTAAAGAAGTTGTATTTCATTCTGTCAGGAAGCTACACACATAAAAAGTAATCTCAGTATAATGAGGTACATGTTACAGAATTCTGGATAGGCAAGAGACACATGACTCAAATTGGGGCAACAGGGAAGCCTTCCGGGAGGAGATGATAGCTGAAGAAATTTTGGAAAAAGAGTAAGAGTCAAGCAAGAAAGCTGAGAAGACACTGAGAGCAGAGAAAAGAGCATGGGCAAAGGAACAGCTTTGTGTAGGAAGCAGCCCTGTGTGTGAGGTTGGGGGTGGGGCAGTGTTTGAGGGGGAATTACCAACAGTTGAGCATTAGCAGAGCATGGAGTCTGGGCTCAGGGAGGCAGGATATAGGAGAACTGAGTAGCAGGAATCAGGTCATAGTGGTCTTGAGCCTTAGTCTAAGGACCTTGGCTTTTGTACAGTGGGCAAAATGAACTCATCTAGGATGGGGAGTGACACTGTCATATTTGTACTTTGGAAAGATGATTCCATAGTTTGAAATACTCCAAGCCCTACAGGCCATTGCTATAATAAATTCTCTACACTGACTAACTAGCAAAATGCTGGGTGCATAATATCTAAAAAGCCACCTGACCTCACCTAATAAATTTAATAATTCGTGACATCAAATGGAGTCACTCTGCCCCCTAAGTGCCAGATAGTATGGGCTGGAACTGGCATTCTCCATCCTGCAGAAAGTCCACTGTCCCAGGAGAAGAGTTCTGAGAGCTTACACTCTGTGGGTCTAAGCTCTTACAGCTACTGAGTTAGTTCAGTTGAGTTACTGGATTGTTTGGTAAGTCCTTTCCTTGTTGTGCCATGTCAAGCCCAGACCTAGGACTGGGCTCCTTTATGGGACTTTCATCAAAAGCCAGTCATACCAAGAGATGGGGTGCTATACACTTGACCAAAGGTCTGGAGAGGAAAGAACTTTGGAGGCACAGAGAATGTGACCGGTCCACAGTCTCATATGACATGTTCCTGTGTCCACTGTGCGCCGCCTTGCTCCTTCCCAGCACTTCTCAACCCCCGACCCGAGCCCTCTCTCATTGGGGTGCGGCGCCATTCAACCATCTGTAGCCCACTCCCCAAACTCAGCCCGGCACTCTCTCGGCAAATCCAAAGGTTTTCCTTCTCTTGGGGCAATATAGAAATGTCCCTTCCAGGGGCATTGGCAGCCCTCCTGCCAGGGCGAAAGGAGCTACATACAGTAAGTTTGGGTTTTAAGTGTTCCTTTTCCAGCCCAGTTTCTTTGGATTTCTGAGAGAACGTGGGTTTCTGTGCTAACTGGTCTACCACTTTTGGCAAACTGGCTCTATTAATTAGGCCCATTGAAACCTTATCTGCCTCCTCATGGAGACAGTTCACAGAGGGCTGAAACACAGTGCCTGCTGCAGGGGAGGGAGAAGCGAGGGGAAATGCACGTAGCCTCTTTTCTCAGCATCCTCTCGGGAGGCTCCCAGATCCCCAGATACAGAAGCTTGCTTTTCTTTCCTGAATGGAAACAGGTACTGGGGCTGATGTCTGAGAAGAGGCTGCTTTTTCTGTTTCAAAGCTGTTTGTTAATACTTGGCTTCCATTCTGTGACATGCATGGGTACCCTTCAGAACCTTACCTCACTTCTTAATACATTAAAAAAAAAAAAAAAAAAAAAAGCCCTTTCCTCAATTTTTAAGTTCTAGGCGGCTCTTACTTTGCAAAACAGTGTTCTCTTTTGTTTTCTATACTAAAGGCTCACAAGCTGTTGCTGAATTTCGAGCCTTCTTAAGAGAGTGATTGTTACTCTGTGGGAGACTTGGGGTGTTGTTGATGAATAGGGGTCTCCTTGCTGGGTAACTTCAGGCATTTTCTGCTTCCCCAACTGGGGCCTGTGACCATCTTAATCAGACAAGTACCAGACTCTGTGACTTTGGTGTCTCTTCTAATCCAGGACCCTAAAATTTCTTAGGGAAAGTGGTTTGGATAATTCTCTAATGCCTTTAAGGAGAAGGCAGGTATATGGAAAAGATAAAGTGGTTGGATAGAGGGAAGAGGCTTGATCCTGTCTAAAGCCATTGTGTGTGTGTGTGTGTGTGTGTGTGTGTGTGTGTGTGTGTGAGTGTCTATGTATATTGTGCCACCTGAGGAAAACATGCCTCTAGAAGACATTACTTTAGAGCTAGCTCCGAGCTCTGTACCAGAATGACTCTGCCAAGATGTATACCTAGACAGGCTCTACCTTGAATGTAGGAAAGAACTCCCTTTGAATGGGTGAAAGGCTTGCACTCGTGTGGACTGGGAATTACGGTCCAGGCTCTTCTTTTCTTCTAGATTCAGACTTCCTTTGTTAGGGAGGAGAAGCATGGCTTTCTCCCTGGTTTCCATGTAGCCTTGTTGAGTTTTTGCCCCAGTGCTGGGCTTGGGCCTGTCACCTGTGCCCAGTCTGGGAGCAGCCGAACTGATACCCTGCAGACGGAGAGCACAGCTGAGATAGGAACCTGCTAGGTTCTCCTGAATGAGGTCACTGTCTATCATGACCCATTGGCCACTCCTGGGGGAAGCTTGGGCATGTACCTGCCTGACATGACAGGCCAGATGTGGAGTACAGCTGTCTTGCTTCCCCACCAGCCCAGCCCAAGCCATGGCCATCTACCTGCCCTTCTGCCATAGTCAGTTGATTTATCTCCCTGTTTTCGCCCTTGCATCCCTGCAGTCTCTTGTCATCAAAGCAGTCAGCATGATCCTTTTAAGATGGGAAGTCATTCTGCTGCTCCCAAACCCATTACGTACAATCCTAAATCCCAACCATGGCCCTTGATGTCTACGTCACTAGGTCTTTACTCTTCTCTCCTCCTTCTCTGCCACGGCTGCTCCCAACTATGTGGCTGCCTTGCTTTGTGGTGGAAGAATCAAGCATGTTCCTGCCCCAGACTTCTACCTTGGCTGTGTCCTCAGTGGGCTCACTCCCACACTTTCTAGTCCAGGTTCTCTGCTCAAGTCACTCCCTTGGAGAGCTTCCTTGATCACTGCACCTAAAACAGCACATTTATCATTCTTTATCCCCTACTCTTGTCTGTTTTTCTTTGTAGCTCTTATCACTATCTGACATACTAAATGTCTGTTTTGTGCCCAACGCCCAGCTAGAATGAGCACCGGTGGCTGAGAAGGAATGCTGATTGTTAACTTGTTACCTAAAGTCATCCTCCTGCATTTATAAGCTCAACTCAGGAAATCACAGGGCTATTCCTTTGGGGTCAGACCAAAAGGCAAATTTGCTTTTGCCTTCAAAAAACTAATCCTTAGCAAACTTCACATGTAAATGGGCGAATTTAAGAAAACTAAAGGACTCTGGGTTTAAAAATACGGTCTGTCCTCAATCAACAGGTAGCCAAAATGCCTTTGAAGAGCAACTACAACATTAGTTAGATGTTCAGAACCAAAATTTAGCATTCTCCATTTCCTAGATTATGGACCCGTCACATTTGCTGAGCATGTCGAATCCAAAGAGCATGCTAGCCTGACCTCCTGGAGTGGTATAAAGTTCAGCGTCTTCCTCTCCCACTGATTAAACAGACCTCTCTGTATAACTGGTGAACTTGGCCTTGAACCTGTGCCTTTGAATCAGCAGAGGGTCACACACACAAGGCTTTCTGCAAAGTTTACAGGTGTGGGAGGATTCCTCTTCATTCCTTGGAGTAAAAACAGATCACCAAATCCTAGCATTTTGAGGGGACACCTGAGAAGGAATGCTCACAGATGGGATTTAATGTGAGTGCACAGACCAGAATCAGATCTCCAAGAAGACATAAGTGAAACATTTTAACTTTTTTTTTTTTAATAAGAAATGAAGCATGACTTTTTGCACTAGAGAGGAAGACAGGAGTTATTTGAGCGAAACACTTTATGGGTGTTGCTTCTCTCTCTTATGAGAACCCTGTGCAGGTGGGTGTTCTAATTTCATTGGAGAACAGGGCTTGGATGGTAAGCAGCTTACCTGTGGCTCCAGCTAATGAAGAAGTGGGGGGACACATCCAAACTCACTGCCTTCCTATCACTGCACAGCGGGTATTGACTCATCATTTCACTCATTAAGCGAAGCATTGCATTCATGAAGGACTCACTCTTGATCTTTCAAAGATTTTTCTTTTCTTTTTTTTTTTCTTTGCAATTTCTTTTTCGCTCAACTTACTTTCCTCCCACTACTTTTGTGGATTCCCTGCACCAATCTCAAAGGTTAGCACACAACGTGATTCCAACAAGTGGGGGCTCCTGCTTGGACAAGTTTCAGATGGAATATCCCTAAGGCCCACAAACAGTTAGGCTTCTTCTACATGAATTTCAACACAAACCATGGAAGAACTGATGAGGGGAAAGTATCAAAATGATTTTACTTGCTTGTCGAGGCCTGTCTTGTCCTGCCACCCTGGGGCTTCCTCCCTTTGGCCAGGAAGCATGTGTTAGACTCTGTCACCCACAGGGAGGAGGCTGTGGCCTCACATTGCCTGGTAGTGATCGCTTTGATTTTCATTTCTTCCATGGGAAGAGTGGGAAGGAGGAGTGTGAGAGGGTGATGTTATGGCTACCTCTAGGGAGACACTAACTGTACTTCTAAGGATGGCAAGAAAGGGGACATCTCCCATCCTTTAAGCTTGATGAGTCCAGATCTAGGTGACCTGAGCTGTTTTCCACAAAGGGGTGACTGAGCCATCTTCCGTGATTCAGTTGCAAAGAGGAGAAGGATTTGAGGAAAAGCTTTTTGGAAAGTTGTGTAGAAAAAGGAAAGGCTTATGACAGTCATCTCAAAAATAAACTTTTATTTAAGTTACATGCACAGTTCATTAATGAAAGAAAACTGCTTATCTATAGGTCAGCAGGACTGGATGCATTCCAAAATGTATTTCTAGAATTCTGAAGATCCTAAGGACAGTAATGTGGTTGTACGCTCTGGACTCCTGGGCCATTACATGCTCTTAAGTCACATTTTGGTTTTGAGTGACATTTTAAAAGGGGCCAGATAGTTTTCTCAAAGCCAGTCACTTTGTGCGAAGAATTCTTCCCCCCCCCCCCCCCCCGCACATGTCTGTGATAATGAGATAAGCAGGTCTCAGGGGTTGATTCCAGAATACCTAAGATCCATCAGTCACTTGACCCAAGTCACAGTTCTCCCTGTCTTCTTGGGCATGTCTTTCCTTATGAGAGCCTTACGATGAACAATTGGTTTTGATACAGCTTGTTTTCCCCAATTATCTTCATACACAGGAGGGATGTTGCATGTCCATAAATTCCTTCAGAGGATCTTTGTCTTTTAGTTTGCAATCCAGTAACCTACCTCTACTTCACAAGGAAAGTAATTCTGGAACTTCTGACATCTTGAGGCATGGGCACATAACAACATTCTTCCACGCTGACTTAACATAGTGCTAGTGTTATTCTCTTGGTATGCCGCCATATTGGATGCTAGCCATTAAAGGCATCTGAGACACCGGGAAACTGCTGAAGGACCCTACCATCAGTAGTAAAGGGACTCCGCAAATATGCAGTGTGATGTCCAGCTGAACCTTTACACAGCTCTGCCTCCTTTTCTGAGAGGGGATGGCAGTAAACTCATAGGGCTTGGAATCCCCATGTTATCTGTGGTCTCAGTTTCCACGTCTATAAAATGAAGACACCTACCTATTTGGGTTGTTGTGAAGATCAAATAAAATACATGCCAGCATTTATTTAGCACATTATTAAACTATTAAGAAGTTTAGGGAGATTCAAAGTGCTTTAGCTGCCATGCAAAGACTGTGCAGGCCACCAAATACTTGTCTCCATGTTCCAGGCAGTGAAGTCAAAAGGTTGGGGTAGAAACACACCAGCTACATGTCTAGGGTTTAAATCATGTAACCCTTGAAGCTTTTTTTTTTTTAACTATATAAAGGTGATATCACTACCTGAGTGTCACACATAGATCTCATCAGGCAGGTGTAGTGGAAAACCCTTGGGACAAGGCCTAATGCATGTTATGCTCAATAATGAGTTAAGTTACTGTAACTCTGACTGGTAAAGTCACATACCAGTTTCTAGATCGTACCACGATGAACACAAAGAGAGGCATAGCATCGAGAGTGATCTCCAGCGGGAACACCTGCCTTGTACCCACTAAATGCCAGACACCGTGCTGAGCCCTTCTCTGCATTCTCCTTAACCCTCGCCATGGCACAACACAGTCCCCATCTTGTCCATTCATCAAGGGGATTAGTAGCTTGCCCAAGTGACCACATCAAGACTGACACCAGAGTCCGTGCTTGGGAACTTCCTTGCTGACAATCTAACTTTCCCCTTAAGCGCAATGAAAAAGAAAACTATTGATGTGCCCAGGGTCCCCTGCAAAGCCTGTACCCCACCTTCAGCCTGTTTGATGCTGGCTTCTACGACCCTGGGTGGTAGGTTTACAGGGGAACTATCAGTCAGTGGTCCACTTCATCCCTGTTTCTTGAATGAGCCAGGCTTGGAAATGCTCAACGGATTTGGGAGATACAATAGAGAGTTGAGACACCGCTGTCCTCTGTTCCTTAATACCTGTGGACCCCCACTGCTAACTCTGATTCAGCTTTTGATCTATGAAAGCAGACAAGGATGGTGTATGCACAAAAGTTGCCTATATTTGGAAACAAGGTATATTTGAAGGCTTTTTCTACTTCTATGTATTCCTGAATCTCCACAGTTTAGGTCCATGGTATGGCAGAAACATGAACATAGAATTCCCAATTTTTCCAAAGAGGCAGGCTGGATACTTGATGATGAAGCTGAGGAGCTCGAACTCAGTGATCAAGATTAGCAGGTTGTATTCTAAATTCTTGGACCTAAGTTATCACAGCAAAAGTGCATATGCTTCTTGCAGGTTTCCCTGCTGCTAAAATCAAGGATTCCAGCTTCCGTTTGGGTTCAAAAGCATAAACTACTTTACCAGGTAAGAATTCTAGGAAATTCCTCTAGTTACACTACATGACAAAGAAAACTCCACCAGAATCTTTTGCTTTGGGGGTGAGGATAGTTAAAAGGTATACTTTAGTTCTCCCATTTCTCAGTATTAAACTAAAGAGTTAGTTCTTTAAATGTCCTATAGTTTTGCTATTTAAAGCCTGTCTTCTCATTTTTTTCTTCTTCTTTTTCTTTTCTTTTATAGAAGGGTATCTGACTTCCAAAGATACAAGGAACAGAAGTGCCAAAGTTGAAGCTTCTCTCTCTCTCTTTCTCTTTTGCCTTGTGTTTGTCAAGAATAGAACACCGTAGGCTTGAAGATGATGCCATGGCTCTAATTTAGCTATAAGAATGTCTTCAGGGAGCTGGTTGAACAACTGGGATTCTTTCTTGCCAAATAGATAGCTTATAAAGGTCACTTGAAAATTTGGACTCAGGGACTTGGCTGGATTTCTTTACCAGATGCTACATATTTGTTTACTCATCGCTTATCAATCTGGGTAGCAATTCCTAAAGTCTCTGGAGGACTCATGTTCAGTGATTTTGTGTGACACATTTAACTCCAAACACTCTCTTTTAGTGTTAGATAAGCTTCCTATTTTACCTCTTAACTAATTATCATCTTCTTTAGTAAACTCTACAGACATAGCAAATTTACACCAGTATGCTTCATGTAGGATTCTTACAGTTCTTATTTGGATACTAAAGCCCAAGGTTTTATTTAGGTCCTCATGAACTATTAGTACAAGCTGAATTGACTAGCTATGTTAACTATTTTTATTTCAGTAGAAATATCTAGTTACTTCATTTTTTTCAACTCTTAAGGTGGGTTTCTGTCCTTGGCTACTTAAGGTAGGGCAAGGGGAAAAGAAGGAAATACTTTATACTCTTTGAAGATTGGAGTAGTGGGACCTAGAACTTAAAAGAACATAGTAGGGGGCGCCTGGGTGGCTCAGTTGGTTAAGCGACTGCCTTCGGCTCAGGTCATGATCCTGGAGTCCCGGGATCGAGTCCCGCATCGGGCTCCCTGCTCAGCGGGGGGTCTGCTTCGTCCTCTGACCCTATCCCCTCTCATGTGTTCTCTCTCTCTCATTCTCTCTCTCTCAAATAAATAAATAAAATCTTTAAAAAAAAAAAAAAAAGAACATAGTAGGAATTGGAATCTAAGAGAAGATGATAGAGAATAATGCTTGATTTTATTCTTAAAAACTATGGCTTTGGGCCTTGACGTTAATTAATACTATACAGTCCTTGTAATGGGAGAACACACTGCTATCTTCAAACTTCCTAGGTAGGAATTTTGTATTGCTTCAATTAAAAAAAGAAATAGGTGGGTTTATATCATAGCAGGGTCAAAGTCCCGGTCAACCAAATGGCCTTCAGGGTTGAGATACGATGAACGCTAACCTACTTATCACACGGGCACTCCAGATACTCTGTCAGAAGACCACATCCTGTTTAGTGGAATGACTTTTTGAAGAGGGAGCAACAGATGTACAACACAGAGTCCTTCCTTCACAGCTATAGCCTCTTCCTTCTATATGCCAGACTTGCATACATCCCCCACCCCCAACACACACACAAAAGCCCACGCCTATTCTTTCACTTTCATCCATTTGACCAAAATCACAACAGGGTATCTATGAAACAATATGGCAGAAGCAACTTCATCTAAGATTGTTGGTCTCCACCTGAGCCACAAGCAAGGTGTCAGCTGCCTTACTTATATTCCATGAGCAAGTAGAATAGGCGTCATCCACCCATCCATTTAGCTACTCAGAACATCTCTTCATCCTCTTGCTCCTGCACTGGTCAGTGTGTCCCAAGAGGAATCACATCTATAGCAGACTCTCCACCTCCTTTTGGAATTAGAGCATCTTCCCAGGGCTCCAAACCTCACGTCTTCCCTTGTTTGCTCACATCTTGAGACTTTAGAAAAAGGCAGTAATGGCCAATCTGATGGAAAACTTATTTAAAGCCCTGTGCTCCTATTTGTTCTGCCCAAATTCCTTATCTGTTCTTCATACTAAAAATTTCAGACGTTGTCCACAGAAGGATCTTCTGCCAGCCAGACTGCAAAATGAGAAGATAGATTCTCCATGAAGTCCCGCTGGAACAGTGGTTTTCAAACTGTAGTTGACATCAGAATCACCTGAAGGGCTTGTGAAAACACATTCCTGGACCCCACCCCCCAAGTTCCTCACTCAGCAGATCTGGGAAGGGGCCTTTTTAACAAGTTCCCAGGGGATGGAGAGGTTAACCCTACTGAGAACCACTGCCTTAGAGTGTTCAAGAATGGCGCTACCCGTTACCTCTCTAGCTCTCTTCATGGTAGATGGTGTAGACTTATAAAAGATGGACACGCTTTGCTCAAGGACAAGCTCAAGGACAAGAAGGCACTTGTCCTGGAGCTACATATAATGACAGAACATGGAAAACAGAGATTTAAGTATGAAGCAGCAGAATTGCTAGAAATCTTTGCATAGGTTTCTAGATCGGGAAACAAATTAGAAAAGGAACTTGCCTCTAAACAAGAGGAATTTTAGGTACAGGCTAAGCTAGCTTCTTTTACAAAATAAATATTTGGGGAGTGAATATTAAGTGGTACCTTGTTCTTTCAGTACTTGGTTGTGAGAGAAACTAGCCAATTTATAGGCCTGGTTACACAACATCAAGATCTATATCATCTAGCTCATGTATTTAGTTAGAATGCTTGATATTACTCAGGCTGCTGATAGAGGTTTATCCTAGAGGAATAGGCACAGACCATGGTTAAGCTGCTTGGTTTAATTGTTTTAGCACTTGAAAAAAATGTACAGTAGTTTGAACACTCAGTCTTTGCAGACCTCCACTGAGGTCAAAGATTTCATTCATACGTACAAAATTAGTTTACAAATTTTTTGGCAATTTCATCTTAGTAACCCGTTTTATCCTATTGCCATTGTCCCAACCATTGAAAAAGTTTACAATAATTTACATAGAAATATTTTCAAAGTGCTTAAGAATAGTGATTGTTCTCTGGGATATTTACAGATGACCTATACAATGTATGTACAGATGGAATACACTATAGCACAAGTGGGTGTCCTTGCTGGAATATGGCTTTCTAGGGAAAGTGCATATTTGGCCAGATGTGGCAATACTGTCTAGAAACTCAAGGGTTAGATACTTGGTAACCACATCCGAAGCTGAAGTAGAATGTGGACAGGAATATTTACAAAAGTAATATAAAAACGGTCAAGTATACAAGCTTGATCCATGTAAAGATATCTTGATGTTCTTCCAGACTGGAGGAAGAAAGACTTCAGATTGTGGCTCGGTTACCATTCCGAAGTGGAGGGTTATTGGTTTTAGACCTCAGAGGTCAAGACTCGTCTCTGAAGTCAAGCTAGGTCATCGTCTGTGCTTACAACCGATATCTGTGGAAGAGAAAAAGTACAGGATGAGCGTGGTGATCACTCAGTGGTGGTACTCACTCCAGTCTCTCCGATGGGCCTTGCTTTTGAGTGTGTCATCCAGAGACCGAAGGGACATGGAAGGGAAGTCAGATCTAACGCAGTACTGAGTTGTGTCACTGGTGCATTTTCACTTGAATTCAATGGTATCTACTTGGGAGAGAGAGAAAATAGTGGAGCTGATGCTGCCATTCCACTGAATGATCGTAAATCCTGGAGAAAAATGGGGAAAAGACACATGCGGGCCATGAATGGACCACCGTTCTTTGTTTCACCAGAGAGCTTGAGAGGGAGCGCTGAGCCCCTTTTTTTTTGTTCAGACTGTTCCCTAAGTGAAGGCCAAATACTCCAGTTGGGTTTCAGCTGAAGAACAAGGGACTAGCTCCCCTGCTGAAAGGAAGCTAGCTGCAGTTGGCAGGATAGGCCACTTTTAAGCATTTGGTAATGATGACTAAAGGAATCTTGCTCAATACGCTGACTTTAAGCCAACTCCCCTGTTCCCTTGTATAGGATGTGCAAACTTCTAAGTGTCCGGGAGACAGCTGACTTGGCAATTCAAATAGGAGCCCCTTGCTTTGTGCTACTATTCACATCTAGTTTCTATAACCAAAAATATCTCCAGTAGTGTAGTGATGACCTTAGGTTGACTTACTTGTCATTCTTTCTGGGACAGATGCTTATCAACTGACTGGCATGTGTTCTGACAGGCTAGACTGTCTAATCTCCAGGCGCAGATCTATTTGGTGGCTCTGTGATCCTAATGGCTCTTCCTAGCCCAAGCAGCCATAGCTTGAGTTAGTGGTCTCCTTTCCAGAAAGTCCTACTGCAAGCCAGGGTGTATCAAGACCCAAAGCTGACTTACTGCTGGGTACGTGTGTCCAACAGAAGCACTGTGTCTACCAATGTCTATTGACAGGTCCTCTTCGGTAGTCTTCAAGTACACAGGATTGTCAAAGTTCATGCTTTTCATGTTCTTGTGCTGCCAATTCCGCCACATCAAGTAGCCACCTACCGCTGCCATTGCCAAGAGCACTGAGAAAAAGTGAGAAGGTGACTAAGCAGGGTCTAGTCTCAAAACATACAAAAAGAGGTCATGTTCAGGAACCCATGAGACTTGACGTTAATAAAAATTTCATGTTGTGGGAAGCTAGCATAACTAGATGTCAGACTATAAATGGGCCAGGAGCTTGAAACAAGTTCAGACCAGTGATCAAGTATTATTCTGTGGACTGGTGTTAAGCTCAGCACATCCATTTGGGCAAGTGGAGAGTTCTGGGCCCCGGCGCAGGCCAACTGAATGAAAATTTCAGAGTTTTCTGGAGAGCTTTTCAAGCGGTCCCCCAGGTGTGTTTGCTAAGTTTGGACTTCAGTGTTCCAGGACAAAGTGACCATTATGGCACACATAGGGACTCAGAATCCCCACACCCAGTAATTGTTCTAGAGGTTCTTCCCCCTGAGTTTGAGGATTCTTACCTATTTCTAATTTACCCTCTACAAGTCCTACAACTCCTCAAGAAAGCATTTAAGCATTTGCATGTCTCCTCTGTATGAAGCATTCTACACCTTTCCAAGGGGAAGAAAACAGTGCTCTTTACCTAAAGGAATGCATTTAGCCAGACTAACACCCCTGAGATAGAGTGCAATGGGCACCTTTCATGTAATAGTTGAGTGTGTATGACTCAAGAGAAAGGTATGGACTCAACTCAGTGTACCAGGCTGGGGAGGGAGCAAACGTAATCAGGGTCACGAGTACTGTGACGGTGGGAGGGGTGTCTCTAGATGGATTCGAAATGCCCACTTGGTGGGCGTCTAACAAGTTTATCCAGATGTGTGGGGAAGGTACTTACAGAGAGGAAGGATGGCCCAGGCAGCTGAGGTGCCTTTCGGGGGGACAGTGGCCTCTGATACTGCTGTGGTCACATTGATCCCTACAGAAGAATGAAAGGAATCAATTTAGATGGATGTGAATTCAGACTGAGAAACGGACCCATCGGGCGGAGCACTTCATGCTCTGGCATCCATCACTGCGGGTCAGTACCTACTGCACTGCATTCCAGGCACAACTAGTCTAGAAAGATTGGAAAGTCACACGCTCGAATAGCTATTTAAGAGTTGTCTAGTAGAAACCTTCATAAGTTGGGTCAGGCGAAGAATTGCAGGCTTTCAGGCTTTGGAGCTGAAATGTAGGTTACCAGCGAGGGGCAGAACTAGTGGTTACAGGGTCTGCATGAATTATGGAAGCAATAAATACAAAGAGTGTGGCTGTTAGTTGAGATTCACAGTGCACAGTACTGGGCCCAGTACCTCTAGGAACTAGTCCACTAGTTGGTGCAATTTCTGTTGTGTGGATACCTTTTGTCTCACTGTAAGTCACAGGAACTGCAGAACCTGAATTATAAAGACCAAGAACCTGGTTAAGGCCAAGGTTCCAGAGCGGCTAGCTGCTTCATCCAGACAAACCCCTCGAAAGGTTGTTTTAACCCCACGGGAAATAGACAAGTCACCGCTGAGCTAAGTTGCCGGGTCAAAGCTGAAAGGAAGTCTTCACGCAAAACCAGAGACACACGAGACTTGGGCCAGAACAGTCAGCATTTGTGATCTGACAATTCAAAAAGATACACATTCACATTTAGCCCTCTCGGTACCGTCCTGGAAGTTACCAGAAATGCTCTCGAGGACAGAGTATCAGACATACTAGTCTTACTGTCAGATTGCCTTGCAATTACGTTCTCGGTAAACCAAGCTAGTCCCTGCAGGGACTCCGTATTAAGCTGATAAAAACCTCACAATAGGAGCTCCTTGCTCACAACGTGAGAATTTAATTTGCCACTCAATCAAAAGCTAAGGACAGAAGACAAAAATAAGGTGGGTGTAAGTGTGAGTTTAGGACGGTGTCGCCCTGTGGGGCCATGAGGTTTCCTGTAACTGTGGCCTGTCTCTCTGGAGGAAAACATAGGACTTCAGTTGTCTGCAAGTTGGCTAGCTCAGTGCTGTCACGGGATTAACTGGGACACCTCAGGATAGTCCCGTTCACACTGTGGTCACCTATAGACTCACCCACTGCGGCAGTGAGAAGTCACTTGTGAAGGAATGACATGAGCAACCTGGCATGCACTGGGCAGCAGATACACTCTCAAATCTCTTCCAAGAATCGGTGAAAGCAGAATTCTGAACATCCGGGCTAGGTTTACGGCTAGTGTCTTATTCTGCTGCCTGTTGTTAGGTCCTGCTGGTGGTTGAAAAGTCAAAAGCCTTACTGTGGCACTCCCGGCCGTTCTCCTCCAGATTGTACCCATTGGGACAGGAACAGGTGTATTTTGGAGAGTGATCATTAATTTGTGGCGCTGGCAGGCACAAGTATTCACAGCCTCCGTTCGGCATGTCTTCTTCACACCAGTTTTTACCTATTCAGAGACAAAAGTCCTTTAAAAGAGGTCCTGTGGTCCCTGCTATACCTAAAGCCCCATTCTAGATGCTGGAGACATGAGTCTTTGTTCCCAGGGAGATTACACTTGTCTCCTCTGTCCAACCTTCAAGTTCAATATGATGAAGAAGAAATACAAGGACAGGCAGTATGCTCTAAGGCTACCACAGATCCAAAGAAAATTCTTGAAAGTGGCATGCGGATTATGCCTGGAACGGGTGGGTGGTGAGGAAGCAGGTGGGGGTAGGAGGCACCCATTACAGGCCCAAAGCTTAGAGTGAAGATTCAGGGGAAGGAGATGAGCAGGTCCTCCTTGGTCTTCACTCTGCCTTACAGAACCCAGCTAGAGGGAGGTTGAAGGGTTTCATTTAGATAGAAACAGTCAAATATTTTGAGTAGGAGCTGGTGTGACCAGATAGATGTGTTTGAGGATCTGCAGAGAAGCTATGTCATGATGGGGAGGTAGGAAAAGTTGGTGGCATAAAAGCTACTTTGGAGGACAGTGCAAGAGTCTTAGTACAAGGGACTGAAGGCCGGGAGGTATGGAAAAGCCTGGAACAAAAGCCTGAATGCTGAGGGTGGGAAAGAAAGGGAAGAGCTGAAGTTCTGAAAGCTCCTTCACTAGGAGGTCAGAAATCAAAACAAAACAAAAAACACCATGTTTGACGTGTTTGAGGCAGGGGACTGGAGGGGAAAGTTCCATTTTAGAGCAAGTTGAGTTGTTAAAGAGCCACTGATAACCGAGCAGGTTCTACACCACACTGCTGTCCTTACAGGGGACTTCCAGATGGAGGGCTGTGCTTGTTCCCGTTACCTGATGGCTGGACGAGTTCGTGATAGACAATGATGTCTTGGGCATCATT